GCGCCAGTAGCAATCGCTGCCCGTGTCGGTTGCACTGCCTTCATGTGCGCACGCAGATAGCCACGTGCGTTGAGCCGAGCTTTAAACGCCACAACGTGCAACGCGCGCGTAACACACCTCGGGCGCGCAATGCGTACACATCCTGCCATAGATAATTCATCGAGACAACGCAGCTCCACGTGTGGTTCATATCGGAGGATACGTGTAGCGTTCAATTTGATGTTGTATACCGCCCCGCAATGTATGTTCCGTGAAGGAGCATTTCCTGAAACGTCGCCTGTTTATATATTGGTGTTCAACTTTACGGCCACATACACGGTGTTATTGACGAATGCGTTGAATTTTAGTTTTATATATGTGATAGACATTATCACATATATATAACATTGTGCGCCGCTGTGGGCTCTCATACGGAACAAATGTTGTACGTCCTCTTGCCAATAACATCAGGCAAGCAAGTAAACAATTGTTAAACAGGCCACACACTGCTGATGAGACTCAGAAAAGTCAAAACCTGTGTGGGGTTTGCCTGAAAGCTTTAAACCAAATGCCACCAGGATAGAAATAAAAACAATTTGGTTCACAGGCCTCATACATAGGCTGGTGAACCGCAACGTTAGTTCATGTTATCGTCACACGGTGAAATGTGTGGGCGTCGATTTAAATTGCTATGTCGTCATAATCATTTGTCCTCAACACAACTGCATGGGTAAAGCTGTAATTAATAACATACACACATCTAATTGTATCTATATTCTTGAAATCTATATCTTCCTCGACTACTCAGCCAAAGTTTCCATCCCGCATATCGCCCAGTGAACAGGTAACACACGAACAGTGAGCAGGTAACACACGAACAGTGAGCAAGTAACACACGAACAGTGAACAGGTAACACACAAACAGTGAACAGGTAACACACGAACAGTGAGCAAGTAACACACGAACAGTGAGCAAGTAACACACGAACAGTGAGCAAGTAACACGAACAGTGAACAGGTAACACACGAACAGTGAACAGGTAACACACAAACAGTGAACAGGTAACACACGAACAGTGAGCAGGTAACACACGAACAGTGAGCAGGTAACACACGAACAGTGAACAGGTAACACACGAACAGTGAGCAGGTAAAACACACGAACAGTGAACAGGTAACACACGTCTAGTGAACACGTAACAAAAAGATTAAACTGTACTTCCTTTTTTTTTCCTAGGTATGGTCCACTGTGCTCTACGGCTGTTCTTCAGAAGCGACCTGGCCATTAAAACTGATAGCCGAACGGGAAGTGGCTTACCGGCACGTGGAAATGCATCGCAGCCGAACACGCTGAACGCGTGATGTTGATTCTAAATTGTGGAGTGACAACTCCAGAGGAACCGGAGAAAAATCCACGCGACCACGGGCGAGGAAAGAAGTGCAAAACTCCAAATATACAGCAGCAGGCTGAGCCCACGACCTCCTGTATACCGGGCGAGGGCGTTGACAAGGAGAGGTGCGGGGCAGCCGGAATCCGTCCTCGTGAAACCGACACAAATTGCAACGGGGGCGAGGTTGCACCGCTCTGTAATTTAAGCGCCGCGATCGTACCCCGTGATGTTAAAGGGCGCATTATACGCGGCAGTGCAACGGGACTTGAGTCGAGTCGCTTGGTTCAGCCACCACCACCACCACACATCAAACACTACCACCACCAACCACCACCACACATCAAACACCACCACCGCTACCAAACCACCACCACCCCCCGTGCGCGGATAGAGAGCGTGTATGGACAAGTGTGTGTGCGTCTAGGAGCTCGCTAACAGCACTTGCCCCAAAAGTCTGTCCGGGAGCGGTAGACGTGCACCCAAAGTCTGCTAAGGCTATACGGGTGGGGGGGGGGGGTCTTAGTCAGTGTTGGCGTGGAGCGGTCGTGTGAGCGGTTTAATCGCTGCGCTATAGACCGGGCGAACCGAGTTCGATTTCCGCTCACGGCCACCAACACCGGTGACGATTATCTGAACCAGGTCCAGGGAACCAACCCGCCCCCCCTCCCAGGTCGACTCAGCTTGACATGAGTTACCTTGTGCGGTGCGTAAACGTCGGCAATGGGGAGACAAAGGCGGTCGGGCGTGGTGCCGGCCACCCCACCCCCTCGTGTGCCGTGCCAGCCTTCATTAGGTGCTACTCGCTAACGGCACTTGCTCGAACAGTTTGTTCAAGGCTGCACGGGAGATCTTCGTCACGTCTGGGCATATACCTGGCACGTACGCGCGCGTGTGCGTGTCTGCGGTCTGTACCTATGCACAGTTCGATGTACATCTGGAGACTCGGACGCGCAAGTACAATGCGCACGCGATTTGACGCATGTACCGTGCAGGTACAAAAGTATACAATATACATATAATAATAGACATCCTGGATATGTTTTGCAGAAATATGTCCGATGTGTTTGTAGCTGTGGGGAGCGGTAGCGCAGTGGTTAGCGCACGACGAACCCGGCAAGTTCGATTCCAGACTCACAGCCAACATCTGTGAACTTCTGAACCGATCGGTCTGGTGCGGTGCGTAAACGTCACCGCTGCGGAGACAAAGGCGGCCGGGGCGTGGGTGCTTGTCACACAACCCCGTGTGGACCTTGATACCTGTGTCTGTGCGTATATATGTACAACGCCAGACGCAAACACGCCCATGTGTAGCCTCCGACTCACTCGGCGGTGACGGAACTACAAGAGCGAGCAATGCGAGCGATATTAGACACGGGCGGTCGAGCAGTGGCGCTCTTATTCTGAGTGTAGCGCACAGACTCTGTCGTGTCAGAGAGCGTAGCAGCGTTGGTCACGTACGGTGCGAAAGAAGTTCAACATACGTGAGAGCCCAAATGATAGCCCCCCCCCCCGCCTGGCCACCCCCGCTAAGGTGTGAACGTGTTGTGTGACTCCTTACGAAGTGCCGTAATTCCGTTACCGTGAAATATGCATCATATACCTCTGCGCACTAATAATGGATAATGCAATGAATGTGTTTAGAAAGTATATGTATATCTATAGACGACAATTTATGAAAGTAAAACATTTATTTTTTTATTTTTCATCGCTGTAAAAATGCGTCTTGGTTCATTGTTAGTTAATTAGCCCCGGTACATTATAGTCAGTATATAATGTGTTGCTGTGTCAGTGATCTCAGTTTGATTCTACAGAATACACACATTTCAGTTGCTGCAATGACGGGTATATGCGACTTATTGGACGTTTCGGCCAGCTGACCTCCTTCAGCGCAACAAACGCACGTACACGGAGTGTTAACGCAACACGCATACCCCCCCCCCCCCCCAATTCACACGCGCATTGCGTCATGTGTTAACACACGTGTGACTCGGCACACATGCGTGTGAGTTGAGCACACGTTGCGTATGGAGTTTCTGACTGACCTCACGGACAAGAGAGGAGGAGGCATGATGATGACGATGACATCATTTCATTATTTTAGTTCGCAAGCGCCGTTCGACGCACGCGTTATTCAAATAATCGGTCACGTTACGACCAACCAAGTCTCAAAGGGGAACCTTCAACAACAAACTCATTTGCCCAACTCCGCTCGGAACAATTCACAAACGCGACGCTTCAGCTCCCCGCCGTGTGTGGTCCGGCAGACCTCTGTTGCTCTCACGCAAACTATCTCCGATTAGCACGGTTGGCTGCGTACGGCGCGAACGAAGTTCAACATACACACACACACGCAGACTCTCTCCGACGATAACAGCTGCTCGAAACCGCGAGGATAAAGCCGCCGTAGACATCGCTTTGTAAGTAACGATATAATCGGTACATGCATGCGGTGGAACATTTTTAAAAAATATATATAATTGACAGCAAAGGCATCGGACTGTGTGTACTTAATGAGAAGGACAAATATACTCCTCTCGCATGTGCACATTCGTCCATCAATTGCCCCAGATGCGTCAACAGGCGCCCGCTGGCATTACTCGGCCCGCAACACTCTACGACCCAGGTGTTCGGGTGAAATTTAGTGTGTGTGGTGTGTTTGAGTGGTGTGAAGTGTGTGAAGTGTGTGGCGTGTGTGTAGTGTGAGTGGTGTGTGGTGTGTGTGAAGTGTATGGTGCGTGTGGTATAGTGTGTGGAGTGTGTAGTGTGTGAAGTGCATGGTGTGTGTGGTGTAGTGTGTGGGGTGTGAAGTGTGTGTGGTGGTCTGTGCTCGCTAACATCACTTGCCCCAACAGTCTGTTAACGGCTAAACAGGGGATCCTTGTCTCGCGTGTAGTGTGCGTTGGAGTAAAGTATCTTGTACGTGCCGAGTGCATAACACGCTATTGTCATTGCTTTATTTAAAAAAAAAAGTGACGTCCCGTGGGTGTAATTGTTATATTTTATGGCTTTTAATTGCTATGGCGAAAGGAAACGTCCGTCTCTTTCAGGCGATAGCAGATGACAGCAAGATGATTGGTGTACGACTTTCGTGAAAACGCGATGTACGCTCAATATAGGGCGTGATGTACCATCACACGGTGAGCGATGTACCATCAGCATAACCACAGCGAGTGACGTTCCATCAACACAGTGCAAGCTGTGGTTGAACCATTAGCAGCACAACACTCGGCACGAGTATTAGTGGGATATTACGGGTAACATCATACATGAGCAGATTCCGTTCCTGTCAACATATCGACCTATTGGCTTTCCAGACCGACACTATCCAGCGGTATTTCGTTTAAGCAAGCAAACTGGAACGGAATCGCTTTTCTTGATTAAACTATCAGTCGGGATGATGTACAAATCGGCGCCCGCCGTGCCACGATTCACCGCCACGAAAGGAACGCAGCGCAGCCCGAAGCGCGCATCAACGACACCCCGAGTGACAGGTGGAGGACGCCTCGTCGATGGGTCGTCGACAGAGGCGAGCGACGTAGAACGAACGAGCGCACGGGACACGACCATCGACGTGGACACAACGAGACCATTGTTGAGAGAATGCCGAGAGAGGCGCGGACGTCGCTTTACCTCTCGCGTCCTGAGCGCGGGCTTCGGGTAGGATGAGCTCGGAGTTGCCCGCTCGGTGCGCTTGCAGGTTTAGAGACATCGTCGCTTGCAGGCGGTCAACAGCAGCAGCAGCAGCAACAAACAACAACACGCAGAGTGGACTCGAGGACTTCAGCAGATGCGCGGCAGTGCCGGTTCGTCCATGTAAGGCGAGGTGAGGAAGTCAACGCCGATGCTGCTGCTGCTGATGATGATGGTGATGACTTGATGAAATGTGTCGATTGCAAAGGCGCCGGCGGCGGCGCTGGTGATGTCGGTATTGTGCGGCGGAGACGCGCCGAGGTGCGCAGATTATGCCGGGGTTGTCCTGAGCCGACAATTAATCGCGACTTTAGGCCGCTATTGACCGGCTTAACGACGTCTCAGGGTTCGTCTCGGCGAGAGGATGACGAAAGACAGCGAGAGAGAGAGACGGACGGCGAGAAAGGAACTAAGACCGGCTAAAGACTGCAGTCTCCAAGTCACTGATAGAGTCGAGCTATTCGAGGAGTTCGCTATCCCCTCTCCTCCCCCCCCCCCGAAAGCCGTTGTCGGCGAAAGGTGTCGCGTCGAGTCTCGAGTCAGAGCGCGGGCGAGGCGAGGAGGAGTCGAGGACGAGGCGAAGGCGCGGAGTGCGACGTCTCCATGCTCGGCAGCTCCGAGTGCGCGAGAGATTCGAGAGAGAGGCGAGAGACGCACGCTGGTAGGTGGGGGTTGGTGGGGTGGGTGGGGATGTGTGGGTGGGTGGGTGGGGATGTGTGGGTGGGTGGGTGGGTGGCGTGGGTGGGTGGGAACGCGCGGCGAGTCCCAGCGTCGAAGCGGTAGGAGGAGAGGAGCGGCGCTTCGAGGAGGAGAGCCTCCCGCGATGAGATCTTCTCTCTCGCAGCCGAGGGACACCCTCGAAGCGGGCCCCGCCCCGACTCCGTCAAGCCCCTCCCTCCCCAGAGGCGAAGCCCCGCCCACTCGAAAAAGCCCGCCCCCTCCCCCTCCACTCCTGCCTCTGCACCCCCCCCCCCTCCAACTCTCACGTTGGGTTGACAGCTGGGGGAGGTGATGGAGGTGGTGGATACGTGAATGGACGGTGGTGGTGGTGGCGGTGGATGAATGCAACGATCTCTGTGGGAATCCTATCGAACGGGCGGGACGGAAGGCTAAAAGGGACCCTCAGCCTCCATAGACGACTGAGGCTGTTTGCGAGCGCCTATTAAGGTGGGCGCACGCTCGGAGTGTGCCTAGCCGAGCCACAACACCGCGCCCGTCATTATTTTGTCTTCCCCCGGTGCCGATGTTTATACACCGGCACCGGGGGCTCATGCACGGCTGCGTCCCTCTGGGGGCGGTGGGGGCGGGGGGGGTTCCAGGGCAAGCTCAGGCGCCACTTGATGTCGATGTTGTCCATGCCCCAGAATGTAATCCAAGGTTGCAAGGTGCACACACAAAAGATCCCCCGGGTAGCCTTGACAGACTGTTGGGGCAAGTGCTGTTAGCGAGCACCTATGAAGGTCGGCACGGCACACGAGGGGGTTGGTGGCCAGCACCACGCCCGGCCACCTTTGTCTCCCCAGTGGCGATGTTTACACACCGCACCCAGGTACTCATTTGAGGTCGAGTCTACCTAGGGGATGCCCAGGACCGGTTCAAATAATCGTAACTGGTGTTGGCCGTGAGCGGGAGTCGAACCCGGGTCGCCAGGTTCGTAGCGCAGCGTAGCGCAAACCACTACACCACGGCTCCCCACCACACAGACAAAGCTCCCCCGTATCGCCTGTTAACAGACTGTAGGGGCAAGTGCTGTTTGCGAGTAGCACCTATGAAGGCCGATACGATACACAAGGGTGTGGGTGGCCAGCACCACGCCCGACCGCCTTTGTCTCCCCGGGTTGCGATGCTTACCACACCGCACCAGGTACTCATTTGAGGCTGAGTCGACACTGACTCACACACACGCTAGAGACAGGATCGATTAAGTACATGCACTTACAGGCAGATACAACCTAAACGATTCATCCTTATACTTTTTAGTTAAAATCTAAATTTAATTAATGTATATACGCTTGGCCTTCAATCAGAAGCCATCCGCCCCGAACGTCCAACTTTTTTAAATTTCCAAGCGAGAACATCTCGACACCGACCCAGAGTGCCGGTAATGGCAGCTTCGATGTTCATTCATCGGCAGCTCCCGTGACGATACGGTCGGATTAAATACGGCATCGTCGCCATCCCTCTTGGTTCGTATTGTTACATCGTTCGCGCTTGTTCGAAACACTGAAGAGGTTGGTGAAACGCGATTTACGGACGAGACTGGGGCTGTGATCAAGGGCAAAGGGTCCCCCCGTGTTGCCTGTAACAGACTGTTGGGTCGTGGGCTATTGGCGAGGAGCACCTGCGAAGGCTGGCACGGCACACGAGGGGGTGGGGTGGCCGACACTCACGCCCGACCGCCTTTGTCTCCCCAGTGCTGACGTTTACGCACCGCACAAGGTAACTCATGTCAGGCTGAGTCGACCTGGAGAGGGGGGGGAGATCCTGGACCTGGTTCAGATAATCGTCACCGGTGTTGGTGGCCGTGAGCGGAAATCGAACTCGGTTCGCCCGGTCCATAGCGCAGCGCTTAAACCGCTCACACGACCGCTCCACACAAACACTGACAAAGACCCCCCCCCCCCCCCGTATAGCCTTAGCAGACTTGTGGTGCAAGTCTACGGGACTCGGGGGGGGGGGGGGTGGCGGGGTGATGTGTGGCCAGCACCACGCCCGCCCTCGTCTGTGCTCACATTTTCGGTTGAGTAAGGAGAGGTCCCCAGGATTGGTTCGCATCATCATAACAGGCATTGGTGTGGCCGTGAGCGCGAATCGAACTCGGGTGGTCGGGCTCATAGTGCTGCGCGCTAACCACTGCGCCACCACTCCGCCCTCTCCCCCGCAAGGGGGGCCCCTGTGATGAACAGGCACATGGCGCGCGTTCGACTAGGAACGAGGGAGTGGGTTCGATATCGACACGACGCCACGCAGGGCCGTGCAATCCACGTGCGGAAACCTTCGGCGGCTGCTCGTAATTCGGCGCGCTGTTGTTGTTGTTTAGGTGAACGGAAGTCGCTCTGAATTGACGGTGCGTGCGCGTGTACGCAACGTGCAGCCTGAGAGAGCGCAGCCTTTGGAGGGGGCGACGCACCGGAACGGAGTCAATTTGGTGTCTTTCATTAACGCGTCACGCGCGCAAACGACCCCAGTAGGGGTTGTGATGTCTGAAGAGATTCTCGGCATGCCCTAGATCGACTCAGCCGTTCACCAATCATCTATCTGCTGCGGTGTGTAGTAAAAAAAAGACAAACATCCCCCGTGTAGCCTTAACAGACTGTTGGGGCAAGTGCTGTGAGCGTGAACGCGGCACACGAAGGGTGTGGGTGGCCAGCACCCGCCCCAACCGCCTTTGTCTCCCGAGTGGCGATGTTTACACACCACACCACATCCCCTAGGCCGATTCGACCTAGGGGATGCCCGGGACCGGTTAAGATAATCGCCACTGGTGTTGGCCGCGAGCGGGAATCGAACTCGGGTCGCCGGATTCCGTAGCGCAGCGCAGCGCGCTAACCGCCACGACACCACCTTTCCGGGGAGACAAAGGCGGCCGGGCGTCTGTCTGTCATCATTGACGCCGTGGAACCCTGGGTACGCGCGTGGCGTTGGAGCGCATGAAGGGAGCTCTTTACGCAGTGCGCTCTTCTAACGCGCCGTGCGACGCTTAGCAAACGCGGCGTTTGTGCACGCACGTGGGGATCATCCACTGCTGGATTACGGGCTCCACCTCCCCCGCTATCCCCCCACCCTCAACGTCGTGCGGGGGCGTAGCGAGCTATTTGACCGCGATACTTCACCGCGTCGGTCGACGTTCGCTGCGTGCACTGCGTTCGCACGCCGCGCAGAGACAGATCCGTCCGACTTCGGCGAACGATCGCCAACAGTTACGTTGGCGTTGGCGATTTGTCGCGTTGCTGGTGATGGAGAGAGAGAGATGGCGACTAACGCGTACGTTGCATTGTGATCAAGGAAAAGGGTGGTGGAGGGGGAGGTTAAGGCGGACGGACGGATTGTAGAATGTCAGGCGATATGTGAACGCTACCGAGAATTGCTTCGTAAATAAATCCACTGCCATCGCTGGCTCGATTGGTGTCTGAGTGTGTATGTGTCTGTCTCTATGCGTGTGTGTTCACACACACCGAGTTCGATTCCCGCTCACGGCCAACACCGGTGGCAATTATCTGAACCGGTGTTGGGCCTCCCCTCGGTCGACTCAGCCTCAAATGAGCACCTGGTGCGGTGTGTGAACATCGCCAGTGGGGAGACAAAGGCGACTGGTCGTGGTGTTGGCCACCCACTCCCTCGTGCGCCGTGCTGCAATTCATATAGGTGCTCGCTAATAACACTTGCCCCAACAGTCTGCTAAAGGTTATACGGAAGGATCCTTTGCCTTTGTGTGCGTATGGCGCCTTGTGGTTCGCGCGCCGCGCAACGATCCCGACTACGCGAGTTTCGATTCACACTCACGGCCAACATCATACATGGATATTTGAACCGGTCCTGGGGCCTCCGCTAGGTCGACTCAGCCTAAAGACGGGCACCCTGCTGCGGTTCTATAAACAATGCCAACGTGGAGACAAAGACGGCCGGGCGTCGTTTTGATATTCATTTCGTAAGGATTTGCTCATTGCGTTCCGAAATAAGTTCAACGCGCGGCGCATTGCAACCCCGCCAACGCTGCCCACAAACGTGCGCGTGACTTATCCACGGCTCAATCTTTGTCTTTGCCTTTTTGGTTTGCTCCGTCTTCCGCTGTCCTCTTCTGCTTCTCGTCCTCGGCGTTGACGATAAGAGCGCACGAGCCGAGTAAGCCATGAACGTCGCGACGGCCGCGGCTCCGCTCAGCGGAGCTGTGCCGCTCCGTGGGGTGCCCCGTGGGGTGCCCCGTGGGGTCATCGCTGCCCGCTTCCCCTCTCCTCCTGCCAGAGGGACCCTGAGACCGCACCACCACCCTCCACCCGGGTCAATTTGCTGCGGCCACCGCAGCGGTAACCACGGGGGCCACACAGACGTCGGGCGATAGACCGACACCCCCCCCCCCCCCCTCCGACTCTACGTTGTCTACAGTCCCCAAACTCCACGTCTCGCGACCCCCCGCCCCCAATCCCCACCATTCACACACTCATTAAGTCCTTGCACGCTGCACGTGCCCGATGATTGTATAAACGCGTCCCACGTGACGCGCTACGCAATGAACAGTGACGGTTGTCTAAACTCGTGCTGGGCCTCCCCTAGGTCGGCTTAGCCCCAAATAAGTACCCGGTGGCGGGGTGCAAACATCGCCACTGGGGAGACAAAGGCAGCCGGACGGGCGTGGTGCCGGTCACCCACCCCGTCGTGTGCCGTGCCGGCCTTCATAGGTGCACGCTAACAGCACTTTCCCCAACAGTCTGTCAAGGCTGTACGGGGGATCTTTGTCTGTGTACCGCAGTCTCTCTTTATATTTGTGTTACAGGACATAAGCAAGCCACAGAACACAGAGCAAGATCGTGCATTAGTAATGTATTAAAAAGGCACGCTTATCTGTATCTCTCTCCCCACGACCGTATCTGCTAAGACAAAGGACATTACACAATGTAAACCGCTCTCAGCATCATCATCATCAACACCAGCAGCATCATCACAACCATTGTCTAGGTGG